TACCTACATAGATAAATTATTAATATAATACTCAGAGATAGGTACCTACTACTTATTACTATATTAATATTACCTATATCTTTACATTAAAATGTATACCTATACTTATCAGTTGTTTCAATGTAATTTAACAGACATTGATTTTTCTTTGTTATACCTACACAATATTTTTTTTTACAATTCTTTGTTTGTTATGGATTGATTTGTCTAAAAATGATATCCATATTATATAATACTAAACAAGTATGGATTCATTTTTTTAAACCAATAAAAACCAGGTTGTTATTTGAAAATAGGTGGATACCACGCTTACACAATATTTGTTTCATATTAAAATACAAATATCAGGTAGGTACGTTATAAGTTTATAACGACTATACCTAGTAAGGTATATAGTTAAAGACTTAAAGTTAACACGGGTAGAATAATAAATAAACGACTTATAATGTAATCATCGGCGCAACTAGGTATTTGAACATGGGGATGATTAAGCTTCAGGTTTTTTTGTGACTTAATGAGGCCTACATTTTTTAATAATTTCTTAGGATGATAATTTTGACGTGAGTGGAGCTAATGACCCAAATCACCTCCCCCTAGTTACATCAATGAATGTAATATTCAACAACTTGTATCAATTAATAATTCTACAAATAAACATCTTTCTAAACATTTTTAGGTATAAATAAACTAGTTTACATTAGGTGTAGGTATGATAATAATTAATAATACGATGTTATTATGATACAATCTAACTTATGTAGATATGTATCATTGAAAATACGTGTCTGCCATCAGAAATCAATGGCTATAATAATTATTTTTTTATTACTGTATTTGTTTTTTATAACTAAGTCTGTCTGAATACGTAGGTCGCTACATGTTTTCACGACTAGACGTAAACAAAAAATGTATGACCTTGAAAATGTAAATAAGTAAAATACATTTAAATTTATTTTATAGTATTATACAATAATTATTATAACACGTATTATATTGTATAGTATAATAGTATAATAGTGATTTTAATACTTCAAATCCCGGAAAAAAATCCAAGGAAAAAACACCAAAATAAAAAAACCAACAGAGAAAAAAACCCAAAATGATAATATAATCATGAAACATCATTTATACATAAATCTGAGATGAATTTTCACTAGAATGAGCAGCTCTAATTTCAATTTAAGCAATAACTTTAGTCAATTTTACTTTAAATGGTTCAGCTAGAATAGCTAGGTGCTCACGAGACGTTGTAACCAGAGGGTCGGTTTTAAGAATTGAAGTTCTCAGAATAGCAGGACAATTGAATGAGCTTTTTCTGGTACATCTCCAGCCTCTCCAGGTATAATATTGTATTCCATCATATTTTAGAATTATACGTATAAATCGTATAACCTTTGTAACAAATCTTATCTGAACACTTATTTGATTTAACAATTTCCATTACAATATATTAAATCCAGAACTTTGAAAGATAACTTCGCAAGAATCGAGACACAAGAACGTAATGCGGTATAAAGTCACTGTCAGTACAATAATCAATAGTGGATTTTTATATGATCTTAAAATATTCCCCCAATTAATTATCATATTATAAAACCTATAGTAGCTTTGTAAATCGGAAAAATAAATAAATATCTTAGTAATAAATTGGACAAAAAAAATTATATACAGGGTGATTATTTTATCAAACAACACTCATTATTTCAAAAACTATTGACTTTTTTCAAATTATTTTTTTTCAAAATTTTAGAACCATCTTGTTCTAGAACTATATATTTTTTAAATATTTTCACCCTTATATTTATCAGGTTAACCATTATCAACTTTTGATTTTCAAATGACAACCTATACTTAAAATKTCATAAAYTAAAAAGGCTATTTTTCAATGAATTTTCACGTTTAAATTTTCATTTTTCGTTAATCCGTTTACAAGATATAGCCTCCCAAAGTTGGGTGGTTTTGGGTGGTGTTTGTGTGTTATAGGAGTATGTTAGGTGGTATTTACACACAAACACCATATAAGTGTTGTTTGATAAAAGAATCACCCTGTATATATAATTGTATTATATTTAAATGTAGTCGTGATAAATCTATATAATTATTATAATTTATAATATTAATGATAAATAAAAAACTCTTACCTTTTATTATAAATGTAATATTGTACATAAAAAAGGAAGCTAATTGATTGATAATGTATGTTGGTTATTTGATATTTCCATTAGTTTCTGAAAAAAAAAATCAAACCGATAATTATTWTCATAACTTTTCTAAAATAGAATGAATAAGCATAGAACTATTTTTTTTGTCCAATTAAAATTTTGTGGTTTTGTGGTTTTTCACGCTCATTGAAGTTATCACGTCGCGGTACTTAGTATTTTAAAAATTAATTAATTCATGTGTGTCCCGGCGCTCACGGACTGTATTGACGCTGCTATAGTCGCGAGTGGCAAATAGTTTGCGAGTCCCTGTCAGTGCCGGATAGACAAGGTATCGGCCCATCGAGTTTTAGTTTTTAACCGGCCCTAAAGGGGCCTTTTTCAAATAAAAATGTATAAAATGATTTAGATTTGACGTAGTGCACAGAGTTAAATAAATGTATTCAAATCTGTGTTATGAAATAATTGCCCAAACACTTACGATCGACATTTTTTTTGAGCGGCCCACCGAGATTTTCTCGGTAGCTCGCCTAACCAATCCGGCCCTGGTCCCTGAGTTAATCTAGTCCATTGTCATATAACTGTTGTAATCAGGCCTTACTCACTTAGGAGTTAGGTTTTAGAGTTTTCCTTATTACATAGTATTACTAGTACCTTAGTGGCTCTAACTAATATATACTTATATTKTATATACCTATATTATTGTTCATTATTTATTGTAAATTAATTATTCAGTTATTATGGTAATTTAATATAATGGTTGTAAAAAAATACCCGTGGTGTCTAAACTCTAGAGTAATTTAATATAAGAAATTATAGAAGCCTGAAAATTATAATTTCATTTTTATATGTAATATAATTATATCTTAGATCATATACATTTCTTAAGACGGTAAGATAGGTACTTGTCTTTGGAAATCTGTAACCTACTATAAATAATCTGGGTACATGGCGAATCACTAAAACAGTATGCTCGTCTCGATTTTTCTTCGATAATGTAATATTATTCGAAATTTAATTTTTAAATAAACATAAAGATCGTATTTTAAATTCCTTGAGATTTTTTGTAGGTATATTAATGTACCTAGTGTTAATAGTGTATGTGGACTTTACAAATTTCTATAATTATTCAAATGAAAAACCAAGTTTTCTAATATAAATTATTCAGCAAGTATTTTTTATTTCTTATTTTTGAAAATTATGAAATATTTATAATATCAACATTTAAACGAGTAGTTTTTAGTTATTTAACTTTTTGTATAAAAAATAATAGGACTATGATCATGGAATTGGAAGATATGGAAGCTGCAACAGTGATAAGAAAATTATAGCAATTAATTTTAATCTATCAACATATTTTATAATTTGCAAATATGTCCTATTGTCCTAAAGATGATAAATACTAGGTCTAATATTGCGTATATTTTATATTTTTATACAACCATTTTTAAGGACTATTACCTATCCTTAGTAAAATTAATATTTTAATAGTTGTAAAACTACTCGTTTAAATTTTGGGCGTTTAAAAATTTTTAAAAAAAATAACCGCTAAATAATTTATTGTAAAAATAAGGGTTCTAAATTGAAAAACGAAGTTTGTAACGGTTATACCACCACAGGACACTTTTTAAGTAGAGCCTATATAAATCATATCAACATTCAASAATATGAAAGTATGATATTTAAAAATACCAAAAATCATAATTTTAATGAAATTATTATTGAAGGAAAAATTGGGATTGAGCATGCGCGGAGAATCACTCTGTATATTTTACCAGTGATTGATTGATTCTAAGAGCACATATTGTTGTAGTCTATAGAAGGGTGGAATTGAATTCGAGTATAATTTTTCAACCTATGAATTGAACGAATCTTCCACTTTCGACAAATGATCATATAAATATCACGTTTATTTGGATTGGTTTAAATCGTCTGCGTATCAGATATGATATTAAGAGGATGCTACACAACCATTTATTATCTCCGTCTTACAAGTGCATAAAATAGCGAATTTACGATCAGCAGATCACGTTTAGCTCCGTTAGTTTAAAAATTAGAGTGAATCGAATCGACCTATTATGAAATTTGATGTTAAGAACATTATCTATGTTTGTATGTAGATTTTGTACGATATGGTTCAATATTTTGTAGCAAGTTATGCGTATATAAAAAAAAACATCAATTAAAAATGCTCATAACTCACTTAAAACTAAGTTATCGTAACAAACACAGATAATGTTCTTACCATAAAGTCTCATAATAGGTCAAATTGCTCTAATTTTTAAGCTAACAGAATTAAGCGTGATCTGGTGAGCGTAAATTTGCTATGTTACGCATTTGTAATCAGAGGGAGACAACAAAAAATATGTGTGTAGCGCTTCCTCTTAAGGTCCGACACAATATTCACTATCAAATTAAAGATAAAGGAAAAAACCGCAAGTATGTAGACAATAGACATTAACCAATACATTATAGAATCTCTTGATTTAAATTTTAAACTCGTTTTTAAATTAATATTTTTACTACATTTCATACGAATTTTAAAACCAATATCACCTTGAATAACACAAGCTAGGTATATATTATCAAACAAAAATTGTTGTTTTAATATTTATAGGTATTTTTACAACTAGATACTTAGCTGATTAGCAAACTCTAAAATAAAAACAATAAAATATAATGTAATTTCTTGACTCTTGAGTTCAAATAWAACATGTATGGTAGGTGCATAATATACAAACCAATTAATAAAATAACTTTACATTCCTGTGCCTTCTACGTATTTAGTAGTAGTAGTAGAGGTACCCACCTATCTAGCAACATACCTATTCATTGTTACAGGGGCTATAGTTTTCGATTATGTTCAACGGCTGTTTATCAATGCATTGTTTTATGGGAAATTTACTTCGAATGAATCTCAAAGCATTTCATTGCCTGAGAATGGTGTAAAAGCATGTCAATACGGAACGGGTTGGTTGGTTAAAAGATTACGCTTTGAATAACGACAATAATATGCATGCGCATGAGTTATATAAAACAAAATCTGAAGAAAGCTCTAATATTCTTATCTATTTCTAATGTATTAATAATATTGTTAACTGTATAGTAGCTTAACTTTTTTTCGCCTATTTAACTACTATTAATAATGACGATAATAATAATAATAATAATAATAATAAGTCTTAAATCAAGTACGACAATACCTACCTACCTATCTATTTTACATAACAGAGCTACTTCAAGTTTTGGTGTTATGCAAACTGCACGCTTTAGGACTCACTTGTATACCTATGTTTGAATATTATAGCGACGAACTCGATGAAGCCACCTGCGTTCGACATTGGTTACGGCGTTTACCGTTCATTTTACTTCACGGAGTACGTACCGCCTCCGCCGACAAAGAAGTCTCAGACGAGCAAAGATCCCAATGAAATGAACGACGACGAGGAACCGAGTAATTATTACCTATTGATTTATAATGACGGTGATACCATAATATATTTTCAATCAGGGGCGTCATTTGTGGTATTCCGGATACAAGGGTTTATGCATTTGCATCTCACGAATGCTTTTTACCTATACATTACAGATTTGTTATTGAAATGAAAATACACTTTTATAACGAAAATAATAACATTTTGATGGGTTTATATATTCATTTTATGAAAATTTAAATTCCTTTTGTACATAATATAATATTAGCTGATATAATATTATACAGTGTTGGATAAATTRGTTAATTTTCAAAACTAATTAAATTATGTTACTCAACTCGTTACATTAAATAATTTTATTTAAATTACATTTGCGTTACCCCGTTACCCGACATTATTTTTATCACTTTATAACTTTATTTTTTCATTTAAAATGCAGGGCCGTTACAAATAAGGTTAGGTACTATTTTTTTTTTTTAAATTAGTTACAAAATCAGTTCATAACGAATTATAAGTAGTAGGTACATTTAGTAAAATAATAAAATATTTGTATTTATAAAAATTATAATCAAAAACAAAATTAAGTACATATTTGTATCTGTTTTTCAAGTGCGTAAATGTATGCATTAAAATTATAAACCTCAGCTTAGGCTACTTATTCCGCTCAACATTTTGAAATGACGCCCACGAATAACACTGACCTTAGATCGTAATCTATATGGGTTATTAAAGGTGATTAGGTATACGGGTATACCGTATACTCCTAATACTAATAAAAAAGCCTATCCAGTAACAATGGGAATATACATTTATTATAATATTTTAACGTTAATTTTCAGTCTCCCCCATATGGAAAATACCCACAGGTGTATTGCCAATCATGTGGTGGGCATTTTCMTTACCGGTAGCATTCATGTTGTCGGTAACCGTGCCCGATTGTCGGACAAGGCGTAAGGTGTACCCATTCACGTTCATCATGTGCATAATTTGGATAGGCATCAGTTCATACTTAGTGTCTTGGATGTTGTCGATATGCGGTGAGTACATATTATAATATGACTATATGAGTTACATTGGCGTAATTACGGAAGGTGGGAATTCGGGTGTCGTATCCCATATGGGATATGTCATATGACATCATACCTACCCATCATGGTTACACGTACCTATAGGTTTTCCCGTCACTTTCTATGAAAGTCACAAGTTACAGYTAAATGTTACCTACATGGCAATTGTTGTGCTTTTATAATTCACAAGTGGAACTGAAAAATCAAAAAAAAAAAAAACTGATTTGTCCAATTTAGTTATCGTAATTTATCTGACAGTGGTTTATGGTTATTCTAAAGTACTATACGACAGGGTTGCGGGTTGGTACATTTTTTTTTTCAAACATAACAATCATAATGTTAATGTTATTTTACCTATAGCCTCCGTGGTTAATAATTCTTTATACATTTATCAATGTAACTTTTAAGTGTACCTATCTCATGACTCACACCTGTACAATAACTTGTAACCAGTTATAATAAATTTAGTATACTCCCTTTCCCTCTTCAAAAAAAAAAAAAAAACTTAACAAATTACACCGATGCAGCTATTATAATTGTATATTAGTTGTATTGACGATTTTGGTTGTAGTAATAATATAACTATTGTTCTAAAACAGGAGATACATTTCATATTAGCGACATTGTGATGGGAATAGCGGTTTTGGCTGCTGGTGGCAGTATACCTGAAGCCACTTCGGGTATAATAAATGCTCGAAACGGTAAGATTATTAGTTGTTACCACCACAAATTATTTAATCATATTATAATTATGTATTCTTCATTATTTCAAATTATACTTAATGCACTAGGCGAAGGATCGATGAGCATCAGCAACGCATTGGGTGCCAACACACTGGATATACTATTATGCTTGGGCTTGCCGTGGTTTATCAAATGTCTTATGCCGATCTCCATGAATGGTGGACCTATCCTGATGGAAACCAACGATTTATTTTTTAACTGTATATGTTTGATCATCAGTGTAATTGTGCTGAATATTGCAGCTGCTGCAAATGGATTCAAAATGTACAAGACGTTTGGCATCATATGTCTGATTGGTCACGTTTGTATCATAACAATATTCATAATAAGCGGCCTAAATGTAAAACAAGCAGAAATTAGGCAATGTTAGTATGTATCAAATAGACACTATTTAGAATATAATATTCATTCATTAGCTATCACTTTTAATTGTTGTCAAATGAAATGTCATACAATTGTTTTAAACAAGTGTTTACAAAATGTATGTACACTGAGTACAGTAAAGTAACTATGAACATCGATTTCATTTTATTAGTTTTAATAAAACAAATATTATGTTTAACTAATGTAGATATTTTGAACCAATGACGTGTAGTGAACATTAGAACATTAAGAATAGTTATGAGTATAGTAATAAGTATTTTGATAAAAATAACCACCTATTTATGCATTGTTGTGCCAACATTTATTTTACCATTTAATATTATTTGAGTAGTATTTTTAGTTTATTATACATATTGACTTGTATGTTAACTACAAATTGTAGGTCCTATGGAACTTGTTTTATATTATTTAATCTAGTTGAAATCTTTTATAGTTTTTTTTTTTTAATTAATAACCATCAATGATAATTTTATTTAAATATTTCAACAACTCAATAAGAATGTTAAATAGCTATAAGACTGATGAGTATATTAATATAAAATAACTAATTATGGCTAATAACCTGCAACCAATAGAATACAATTTCCATTAATAATAAGAAACATAAGAGAAAATATTCCATTCATGTACCTACTATGTAGTTTTATAAATAATTAAGAAATGTTTAAATATTTGTTACTTTATTAAATATGTTTATGTATTTTGAAAATAATGATAATAAAATAACAAAAACGAGTACATAGTTTTAACAATAAAAAATTATTATGAATCGGTCATATCAAAATAAAGAGTTCTAGCTCTATCCCTACAATGAGATAGTCCTTTGCTAATTTTAGAGCTCATATCTTCAACATTGAATTTTGTTTCCTGGTCTAAAGACATAGCTGCTCCGGCGGCTTCTTTAGCTGGTGGCCGTGTGTAGTACAGTAATGTTCCACTAAAAAAAAATACAAGTTATTAAATAACTGAAGATTGTGTGTCATACCTAAACTTTAACATTGGACCAATTGCATCTATACACAGCAGTTTATCGGTATAGTAAGGTAGGTATATTCTTTTTAATTAATAACTTTTATAATTTTAATTTACAATAAGAATTGTCAAATCTTCAAGTATAAATATCTTGTAATTATTTGACCATAATACTTCATCGTTCATACAAACTCATAATAATGTTAATAAATTAATACTAGCCATCATTTAATTTGAATAATACATAATAATACAAAGATACTACTAAAAAATTATTAATAGATGATAATTTACCTTTAATATATTTTAGATTAATATACTAAATAGTTATTTTATACAGTCTAGACTCTAGAGGAAGAGTGTGAAGCCCCACCACAGATTGCATCTCTTTGTCAAGTCTTAAGCCCTGGGGGTATTTAAACTTGTAGATATAATTTTTTTCAAATAATGTTTGTTAGATCGACTGTTGGCGCTACATAAATAATTTGAACTGCCCGCCAAAAGGCAGTTTAGGTCATCCTGATTGTTGTTTTATCACACTGGTTATTAACCGCGGTTATATTATATASGTTATCTAAACCGTTTCTAAAATCTTGTTGAAAACTTCAAGTATTTTTCTAACGACTTTCTCAGTAAATCGTTTAGCTTTTTGATTTTCTTCATGAATTTTTTTTTTTGTTGTTTCTGCACCGCGGTTGCAGCAACATTGCTCTCTCGTGTATCTTGTCTACAAAAAGTTCAACACAGCTTTTGTGATTGTCACGCTCTAACCATTTTGGCCTATGATTTTATTATATTATTCATTTGTGGTAAATATCGTTCTTTTCTAATTATTATTCACTCCTATATATGGTCTTTTCCTACTTTAGGGCTTATATTTGAYTTGTCGTTTCCACGTGGATATTTCTCGTATTTGTGTGTTGTCAATCGGTATCACATTGCATGCCAGTATTCTAATATTATTCAGGGTAAGATGGTGCACCATTATATTAGTTAGTTAATTACTATTACATTTATTACAGCCACTGTTGGCTATAGTTACCATTATCTTATTGTCATATGTCAATTATTTGTATAATTTTATAAGTGTGATTATTATTATTGTACTTATTGTTATAACAGTCTTTATTATTACAATACTTTAAAATATACAGTMCACTATTCAATATTTTTAGTATTTAATAATTTACCCTTATCTTTATAAGCAACAGGCAAGCTTCATTATTCAAGTCAAATCATTCAAATTAAGAATAATACTTACTCCTTCAAATCTTTCATGAAAGATTTGGCTGCATTGAGTTGGTCTGGTTTTCCTTGTCTATTAATTAAACTATGTCGTTTTGCTTTCATTTCAAGTATGTGTGTATAATCTTCAGTATTTTCTACAGTCATGTCATACAATAACTTTAACTGAAGAAAAAAAAATATCATAAAATAAATATGTTGCAAACAAATTTATATACATTCACAAACCTGATTTTTTTTTATGTAAGGTAATATTAAAGCACATATCTTGGTTGGGACTACATTTTGAAGATCAACTTGTAATGCCTGTCTTAATAATAAACGATTATCACTGGGCTTCTCTAATATAGTACTAGCTCCAGTACACTTCCATGGCAATAATTCAATTTTCATATTATTGAAAGGAAATACTCCGATTGATCTGTAAACATGTTATCATTAATTTATACTACTGGTAAGAAATGTATTATAAACTTACTGATTTTTTTTTGATGGAACAGGTTCATCACCAATTGTATATTTCCATTTAATGGTATCTACAACACAAGATTTTCCCACCTTGGGCATACCAACAACACCAACTGTAATACCCAAAATTGGTGCATCTATACATGTTTGTAAATAATTTAAAACAACAGATTCACCAAAACATCTATTGGCTACTTTTTTTTTTATTCTTGCTATAAAATTCGGATCTTTTGCACTAGTTTTTGGTGTATTTCGTACTTCACGGCTGGCTCTGAATGGCACTGTTGGTGCTATTTTGCTAAAATATTCTACCCAATCAGTTACTATTGACTTGGGTACTAAATCAATTTTATTCAACAAAATAATACGTTTTTTATCTGGATTAGCTCTTAAGTAATCRTCTATTTCCTTAGAACGAGTAGCTAATGGATCACGAATATCCAACACTTCTAAAACTACATCACACATTGAAATTATCTGAAACAATGATTAATTTATTCAAGTATTTAATGTATTCTATACATATTGGKATTTGGGATTTATACAACTAGTTTTACATTTTTATAATTGTGTTCCATGTATCGGTCTGATCTAGTTTCTTTTAAAAGCCATTTTTGTCTAAAAGGCAATTTTGATTCAGTACTTTTTTTAGTTTCTTCTTCAGATTGTGTTTCCATTGAATTAAAATTTGACAAACGTATTTCTCGCTCTTTTCTTTTTGCTTCATTAAGTTGCTCAATGATTTCTTCTTTGAATGGACACATGTTTGGAGCAATAATCATGCTATTTTTGGTCTCTATATATAACAAATAATTCAAATCATATATTTATTACTGCAGAAACATTGAATCATTGTAGAAAAAAAAAATATATGTTATGTACATAATATAAAATATATTGTAAAAAATTAATAAATAAATATAATATAATATGGAAGTTTAAAAAGAATGTATGATTTTTTAAATGTTAAATATATCACACAACACTAAAACMAAAAGCACTCAAATATAGGTAACAGAAATAGCAAACACGACCTACAAAATATCATATACCTATACGTGTATAGTGCCTAGGTATTATATATAACGTAGGTATCTATGTTATATTATTATTTTTTATAATAGGTACTGGAACTCACTTTTTTTTGGATTTTTCTTTGCGACTCTTTTGAGTTTTCGATTGTGCTCTCGTACTTTCTTGGCAACCTTGTACTTGGTTCTGCACTTCAAACGTTTGGACTGTTTCCCTACAGATAATTTTAAAGTAATATAATGGCAAACAAAATAAAAAAAGTCATAGCCGTTTGGGTAGAACTTACTCTTTTTTGGCAAAGCCATTGTGTATCACTGCTCTGTAGAACAAAGTCTGAAAATCGAAAAACCTAAATTCACGAAAATAATGTAAGTATGCACCTATTAATTTATTACTAATAAAAAATGACGGYGGAATACGATGCTTTGTAGTGAATAATGWTGTGTTGCGGAACGAGTCCGCATAAATGAGRGAGCCGTCAGGTATGGTCGGTATGGACTAAGTAAGAACACGACGGTCGACGAGCAATTCGAACTTCAAGTTAACCTAAAAAAATAAAATAATCAGTCAGAATTAAATTTGGGGTTGGTACTACAATTAAAGATTGACCTAACCGTGGTAGGTAAAAGTTGGTACGTCTACTATAACAATATTGTTATCAGTACTATCAGTGGATCATCGACAGTCCGGAGCGCGATCTACACGAGATGGTCAGCTGCAGACGAACAACAGCAGCCTGCTGCACAGCTGTTAGAACGTAAACAAAAGGACCGCGCGTCGATTGGAGGACGAGAMCATAGTCGTATGATTTCGATCCTTCCGCTTTTCACTCCCACTATAAACAAATAACCACCAGTGCAATATTCTCCGACGATTTGCACCTTATACGTATCATACACGCGCTCGCGTATCATGTCCCATCATAGATCTACAAATRYATCAATTTATATATAGGACGTGTACATAACATATATATATATATATTATATATGTAAATACATGTGTATAGTGTATACATCTCGTGCTGTCGTACGTGAATGAACTTTTCATTTTTTTTTTTTTATCCTACATAATTCGCTGGCACTAATCACAGAGGGGATACGAAATCCGTTTTATTCCTCTCTAGACACGAGACAACTGTGCAGTGTGCACCTACTTCAGTCATACTGTTCTCATTTGTCCCGTTTTCGGATAATATTAATTCAGGTACGGCTTGTATAATATTTACCGCTTGCACGCATAATTTGCGATAATAACAGCAGTGTAGATGAAAATAATAATAATTAATAACTAAAAATTATAACGAACAACTGAACAGGGGACCGATCGCTCGACGGATTGACCGACCACTAACGCGAAACCTACGATTAAAAGAATCGGAACCGCTGTTTGCAAGGCGCGGATATTGTCACTCTTAAATATTGTCCTCGATCCTCGTCAGTCGTCGGTCCCTTTAACTGTCCGTTGGCCATAGTTATAGTGGTCACCGGCCATTCCCTGCCGTCACGACTCGCGGATGACCGACTGCTGGCTGCAACGGTCGTGTCGGTTAACGGGAAAAATCTCGGCGGCGGCAGTGAGTGCAAGTGCGTGTAGTGGATGTGGATCCGTCCCGTCTCTCGTACCGCGCGAATTTGTTAGGTTATGTTTGCTTTGTTGTCACTCGATATTCTATGTATATACATGTACGTGTATGTGTGCTGCGTGTAGTGTATTATTATTATTATAATTTATTTTACCACTGCGCTCTTCGCTGCTGCAATCGTATTACCTGCATATGAGTTCTTGAATGTCCATCAGGCATCAGCTCTATTTTCCCGAGTTTCCTGTACGCAACCCGTCTCGTCGATTGTTTATCCCGTGCAGCCGCCGCCTCCGTCT